GCTCGGAGATGGCCACAGAGCTGAGAAGCTGATCTCTGGAAAGAAGTGCACAGCGTGGCTCTTCGATAAAACGGGGGTTGAGGAGCACTGTGAGTGGGGCATGGTGTCAGGAGGAATGGAAATCTTCACGGGAGATGCCAGCTACAGAGGATGGAGTCTGCTAGGGAGGGTGAACTGCTGGAGGCCCCAGAGGTCTCCCCCTGTGCTTAAATCTCTGTTTAGAAAGAAAGCGAGTCAGACCCTGTGAGGCCAGAGGAGGACCAGGGGTTACTGCCAGGCCTCAGGAGGACATTCTTGAGTCAGGGGGGACAGAGAAGACTGGCCTGGGGCTAGGGGTGCAGAGGGAGGGACAGAAACTAAGCAACAGGGTGTGCTGGCCTGTAGCATTCACTTCTGAGTCCCAGATCAAAGGGGCTGCACACCTTCTAGTTCTCAAAGGCAAGAGAAGCCCATGCCAGCTACCTCTCCTCACCCCTGGCAGCTCCGCCACCCCGACCACCTGGGGGGAGCCGGGAGACAGAGCAAAGGCCAACAGATGAAGACTTGGAGCAATGGTGTCCAGGCTGGGAAACCAACCGTAGGACTCAGTAATCAGAAACCTTTTCAGTATAAACAGCCCTTGGGGTCCATACCACTGCAGCAGCTTCCTCGTCTTCATGGCTTCCCATCACCTCACCTTATAAGCAAGAAGCACCCAGGCTGCAGGGCTCAAAGATGCACCTGACCCCGTGTCCCCAGGAGTCCTGGAGGCAGGATGGCATTCAGGCCCCTGCATGCCCAGCCCAGTGCTCAGCTCACCAAATCCCCCCCCAATCCCAACTCTCAGCCACTCCATGGAGTTCCCTGGCTGGTAACTTGCAAACTCATTTTAAATGCCATGGGTCGGTCGGCGCCAGTAGGCTAATCCTCCGCCTTGCGGCGCCGGCACACCGGGTTCTAGTCCCGGTGGGGGCGCTGGATTCTGTTCCAGTTGCCCCTCTTCCAGGCCAGCTCTCTGCTGTGGCCAGGGAGTGCAGTGGAGGATGGCCTAAGTCCTTGGGCCCTGCACCCCATGGGAGACCAGGATAGGCACCTGGCTCCTGCCTTTGGATAGGCATGGTGCGCCGGCCATTGGAGGGTGAACCAACGGCAAAGGAAGACCTTTCTCTCTGTCTCTCTCTCACTGTCCACTCTGCCTGTCGGAAAAAAAAAAATGCCATGGGTCAACCGCGCTGACTTCTGTGGTTCTACAAATCTAGAGTTCTTGAAAATAAAAAGCACCAGTCCTGATTCTCACGCCAGGTGGGTTTGGCATGGGCACCTGTGGCTCACACGTCGCTGTGGGGAGGAATGAGCCGTCTCCGATCACGCAGGATGGTAGAAAGGCGGCCGGCGCTAAGGAGCCAGAGGCAAAGGAAAGCCCGAGCCCACGCAGCTGCCCCAGCAGCAGGTGCTTCTCTGGCCTCGGCTTCCAACTGCTCCTGACCGAGATCAGCTCCATGGCCTGAGAGCAGGGCCAACAAGCCGCTTCTGCCCTGGGGCCCGGGGCCGCCCCATCCTGTCCTTCCGTTCCCCTCGGCGCCTCTGGCCGGGCCGCGTGCCCGTGGCTGTCCTCCCCCTTGGACTCCAGAGCCCTGTCTGGCCTGAGTTTTCCTGCAGTCCTGATCCAGCTCACGTGGTTCCAGGGTCCCCTGTGGGGGCACCAGGGCCAGCGCCCTCCAGGGTGTGGTTTATGAGGCAGAGCAGTGAATCCACCCCCGCCAAGGCCTCCTTCTGCTCCCTGACGCCACAGCAAGGCCACGGCGGGAGCGAGAGCTGACCACGGCTGCTCGGCTCAGCTCGGCTCTGCTCTTCCCTTGCCCCAGCCCATGACCCTGAGGGTGTGGGCGGGTCCTGGTCCTGACTCCAGGAGGCTCCAGGCCCTCAGCCCAGCCCATCCCACCTTTCTGTCCTGACTACAGAGATGCTGTGTGCCCACTGCTCGTCTCTACCCCCGCCCGGGCATTTCTATGAGAATCATGAGCAAAAACTCCCGACAGCCCAGTTCATGCCGAAGTCTCAAGGACCTGCAGAGGGGATGCAAGGGCGTGGCACCATCTCAGCTTGCTCACTCCTTCCTCCACCGCCCGCTCCAAGGGTGGCTGCTGCTTTCCCAGGATAGCATGACCATGAGGCCACCTCTAACTCAGCCCAAGAGGCCCAGTGCAGGGGGTCCCCCGGACCCCAAACCTGCAGGACCCCCTCTTGCTGGTCTGAGTCAGTGACCGGGACCCTGCCCCAGCCCAGTGCCCTCTGATGGGCCAGGTGGCTCTCCCACCTTCCCAGCCCTGCAGCCCTCCTCCCTCGTGGCCTTGCCCCTCGTCTCTCTGTCTACACATTTTTCTTGTCCTTCCAGGCCCACTTTTTGCGATGGCTCCTTCAGGGAGACTCCCCTTAATGATTCTGTTTTGCAGGTAAGTTAACTGGAGTCCAGTGGGATGAAGCCACTTGCCCAGGGCTGCATAGATCTCCTTCCCCTGGGCCTGACTCCCAAACCAGGCCTGTTTCCACCCCACCCTACCTCCCAGTGAGGAACCATAGGATGACATACTTAGCTCCCTGCCAAGCACGGGGGACTGAAGCTAGATGAGCTCCCCTCTTCCCACCGGCTGGGGGGCAGGAGGTACAGGCGGTGCCTCTCTCTCTCTCTCTCCACACTTCAGCTGCTTGGGCAGCTCCCTCGGTAAAGTGCACAGCACAGACAGTCCCGATGACATAGCAATACTCATGGTTTCTCACCTCGATGACGGTGCGAAAGTGACTCCTCTTCAGTAGAAACTGCACTTCAGTGTGCGGATTCTGACCTTTTCCCAGGCTCATCATCTCCAGCGATGCCGGGCAGGGCAACACCGTAACCGCCGCAGCTGCGCACCCATGATGGGAAGCAGCCTGCATTCTGTGCTGTGCTGTGCTGTGTGGCTGAGCTGTGACGGTCAGGAGCTTGGGTGTGAAATGCATTTTGCCCTTAGAACACTTGGAACTCCCGATGGGTCTGTTGAAGTGCAGCCCCATCGTGTCAAAGCTCGAGACCCGATCGTGGTAAGAAAACTCTGCTAACGCTGAATGCTCATCTCATTTCATCTCCAGCACCACTCACATGCTGAGAATGATTTCCACTGCAGAGGAAATAATAACTCAAGCTCAGCATCACACACACACACACACACACACACACCTTAGCTAATTCCCATAACAACTAAGCAAGGTAGAGCTAGCTAGCTGTTCTGTAGCCCCGCTGGCCAAGCTGCGGCTCCAAGTGGCAGAGTTGGAATAAGAGCCTGAGGCTGAGGGCTGTCTGTCCTCTCAGGGCCATTGGGCCACCTGTTGGAGTATGAGATGGGAGAGACCCTCCCCACGGGAGCCCTGTGTTGACCTGACGATACACATCAGTAAACTGTGGCCTTGAGCGGCCGGAGTGGGCCTTCCATTGTTTAACTGAGTGCAGGGAAGGAGGTAGGGGGGTGTGGGAGCGTGGATCCTGTTCACCAGCGAACAGAGAGCTCTGAAGGAAGATCCCACGAGGAGCTGGTTATTGCTTCCCAGGGACAATGGAGCAAGTCCCATATGGTGCATGAGACAATTAATCAACTGGAGGTCCCGAGATCTGGAACGGGGTCTGGCTTCTGTCACTAGACTAGCTGTGTGTCATGGGAAAATAACTTCTCTGAGCCTCCGCTCCCTTAACTCTAACTTGGGGATAATGACACCAAGAGTTTCTTTCTTTGTTGATCAGCTCATGGATTGAGCACCCACTGACACCCCTGTAGACTCCGGGAACACAGCAGCGGACAAGGGAAACAAGCACCTGCTCCCACAGAGCTTTCTTTGTGGTGAGAAGAAAATGGAACAGGGAAGAAGTAACAAAGCAGGTGTTTGGGTGGCGACAACTTGATAACTGTTATGGAATATAAATAGCAGACAGAGAGAGAGAGAGGAGGGAGGGGCCCGAGGAAGCCCACCCCTGCGACTCTAGCCCTCTGCACTGCCCCCGTGGGAGCCAGGCCAGAACTCCTTCTCAGCTGTACCTGCGCAGTGTGCCATCTGCATGGGGCTGTTCATCCTATTTCCTCCAGCTCTCTCCTCCCTTCCCTGCCCTCTTGCTGACCGTCATATTCCTGTCCTGCCCCCGAGATGATTCCATTCCTGCTGGGGATGGATATTTTATCACGGGTCCATACCCCTCACAACACAGGCAGCAACCACAAGCCAAGTCAGGAACCCAGGTGCAAAGGTGGGACACGTGCACCCATCCCTGGCAACCCCAGGCCTCAGTTCTCCCCACCTGCCGTCTGCATCCTTCCAAAAAGCATGGCAAGCAGAAAGAAACCCACACCCAGCAGAGCAGCTGTACCTGCAGGGCAGTAAATTCTAGGCCACGGGGAGCCTGAGAGGGGTAGAGGGTGGCACTGTGTTGGTTTCTGAGGGGCTGAGCTCAGTATGGAAAGAGCAGAAGCCAAGTGATGTGGTTTGGGAGTGAAGGGGGTGGGAAGGTGATGCCAGGAGGTGGGGGTGGGGGAGGCAGGGAGGCAGGGCTGAGGAAGGTCAAGTGTGACTGCTGGGGTTTGCTCTTTCACAGTGAGGTCACATCTTGAAGGGTGGCTGGGGTAGGGACGCCAGGAGGCAGCCCCTGCCTCCTGCTCTGTTTCCCCTCTTCCGGGTGAGGGGATGACGTCACAGCAGCCTGCACTGCGCGGGCTTCTGGAAGGTGCACCTGACTCCCAGAGGGCCCTGGAGCGGGAACAGAATCGCTGAACAATGAGGCTGGAAGGAACACAACAACGTGTCTCACTGAACCCCTCACTTTACAGATGAGGAAACCGAGGGTCAGAGGAGCAGGCGCTCTCCCGGCGGAGCTCGCACACAGTAAACGGCTGCCCTGCGAGTGGACCCAGCTTTTTGGCATCCAGCTCAGTGCTATTCTTCATCTACTTTGTGCCTGGTGCTCCCAAATCTGACATAGGTGCAGGGTGAAGGGTGGAGGAGGGACAGCACCGTTGTCACCCCTCAGCTCTAACAGATGCCCTGGGCCATTCAACTTCTTTTTAAAAAGAACTTTATTTATTTATTAGAGAGAGAGACAGAGACACAGAGAGATCTTCCATCTACTGCTTTGTTCATCAAATGGTCACAGCAGCTGGGGTTGGGGCAAGCTAAAGCCAGGAGCCAGGAACTCCATCCAGGTCTCCCCCATGGGCGGCAGGGACCCAAGTACTTGGGCCATCGTCTGCTGCTTCCCAGGTGCCTTGACAAGGAGCTGGATTGGAAGCAGAGCACCTGGGACTTGGACCGTCTCTCCAATATGGGCTGTGGGTATCCCTAGTGTTGTGGCCCCACTATGCCAGCCACCCACCCACCCACTTGGCTTCTTGAAGAGTTGGGGAAGCCTTGACCTTCCTCCTACTTCTAAAAAAGGGAAAGTCATCTGGTCTCCGTGGTGTTTCAGAATCCGACAAACTTGCCCGGCACGAACGCCTGTATCAGCCAGCTTAGCAACTAGGGGCGCTGCCGCTGAGGGAGGCAGTGCTCTGCAGAGCTGGCTCTGCTGGCCAGGAAGACAGGACTGTTTTGGCCACTTACTAGGCTGTGAGATTTCTGACAAGCCGTGTGCTTCCAGGAGTCTCAGTGTTCTTACCTGCGCCATCATTTGTACCCTCATTACCCCACCCGAGTACACGGCCCTGTATTCACTAGGAAGCTGCTCATCTGTGTGTTATCACTGCCCTCATCACAGCCTGGGGACCTGAAGATGCATCTGCTCTTGGATGTCATTACGTAGAACTCTAGTGAGTAATTACCACAGGCCTCAGGGGACACACGGAGATACCGATCACACACCTGGACTGTCCATCGTTGGAGCTTGCTCACCACATGTGAATGACAAGACCGCTCTTCTCCGCAGGTTCTGAGTAAACACCGATTTTCTGGCTCACCGACCTGACAGAGAAGCAAGAGAGGCTGAGCGAGGAGGTGGTGGGGTTTACAGACCACACTCGGAGCTGCAGAGGAACGTGTTCCAGTGGCTGCAGCATCAGCCGTCCACATACGCCCCTCGAGACCATCCAGCAGGTGAGTGTTGTAAGCCACCCACTATAGAAAGAGCCAAGGACTTTGTGATATTTTCTACCATGAGAGAATAACTCCTCTCATTTCAGAACGACAAGGCTCTCCCATGTCAGGGCAGCACGGCCATGAATCGGCTTGATGCATACAGCTCGAGCCCAGCATTTGATAGGAGCCCAGTTGTCTTTTTTTTTTTTTTTTTTAGACTTATTTATTTATTTGAAAGTCAGAGCTACAGAAGTGAGAGGAAGGAGAGACAGAAAGAGACATCTTCTATCTGCTGGTTCACGCCCCAAATGGCCACAGCGGCCAGGCCGAAGCCAGGAACCAAGGCCTTCTTCCAGGTCTCCCATGTGGATGCAGGGGCTCAAGGACTTGGATCGTCTTCCACTGCTTTCTCAGGCCATAGCAGGGAGCTGGATCAAAAGTAGAGCAGCCGGGACACGAATAGGTGTCCAAATGGGATGCTGGCACCACAGGCGGAGGCTTAGCCCACTACGCCACAGCTGCCGGCCCCATAAAATAAATCTTTAGAACAAAAGAAGGGGCCGGCACTGCGGTATAGCAGGTTAAAGCCCCAGCCTGCAGCGCCAGCATGCAATATGGGTGCCAGTTCAAGTCCCAGCTGCTCCTCTTCAGATCCAGCTCTCTGCTATGGCCTGGGAAAGCAGTGGAGGATGGCCCAAGTCCTTGGGCCCCTGTACCTGCGTAGGCGACCTGGAAGAAGCTCCTGGCTCCTGGCTCCTGGCATCGGATCGGCGCAGCTCTGGACGTCGCAGTCATTTGGAGAGTGAGCCAGCAGATGGAAGACCTCTCTCTCTCTCTCTCTCTGCCTCTCTCTTTCAAATAGGTAAAATAATTCTTTAAAAAACAACAACAACAACAACAACAAAAAAAAAAAAAAACAAAGAAAAATACCTCCAACTGTGGTGTGTGGTGAAGACAGCCCCCCACCCCCCACCCCCGTTCTCCAGTAGGGGGAGGTACTTTAATCAGATAAACCAGTGGGGTGGGGGCTGAGCATGCGCCCTGATCCCCACTGAGGCACAGGTGCATCCTGGGAAGGTGGGTGTATCACGCTGACAGTTAAAGAGACAGACATTGCATTGCAGGGCTGCCAGAATTCCAGCTCACCTGGGTCTGACTATCGGCCCAGTGACACGGTCTCAGGCCGGCGGCACATCCCTGGCGGCCTCCCCGGCGTCTGACTCAGCAAACCTGGCAGCGAGCAGGTGTGTGTTCCATGGCCTGGTCACGACTCGGCTCACCACAAAATCCTGCCTGGCTCATGTGGGGGGCTGCAATGGAAGCCCCCTTCCCTGTTGGTAAGTCATTTGTGTGTTGCAGTCGGTTTCAGCTCCTAGAAGGTGGCCCTCGGTGTGCAGGCCATTGCTGCCTTCTCATTGGGAACTAAGGGACAGGCTGGCGAGGGGTGTGGCATGCTCAAGGTCACAGGGCAAGCTTGAGGACATGCACCTTGCATGAGGAGTGTCAGTCCTCACAGGTGGGTGGGTTGTCCTGCTCCGCTTCTCACCCCAGACCTCCCTGCTGCTGACCTGCCAGCCCCTATGTCTTTACCCCCCCACAGCTCAGGGCCACCTGTCTCTCTGCGCATCTAGGGTTCTTTTCATGAGCTTCCCCTGTGGAAACTGGGGACGGGAGCAGCTGTCATCCAACCACCTCCTTCCCTCTCCTCGCTGGCTGACTCCTCCACGACAAACTCTACAGACCCGGGTCATGGGGACCAGAACCTGTCCATCACAGAGCCCCAGCAGCCCAGGCCCCAGTGGCCTCTGGTGGCCATGGGGAGGTCAGGGGCATGGGGCAAGGGGCCAGGGTCGACAGGGGAAGGTTTGGCAGCAGCGGCTGCCCCGAGCCTGAATGGATGGAAGTCCCTGCGGAAACACCTGGTGGTAACGGAAATCCAGGACAACTTTTATTATCCCTGTTCACAGGTCCATTCAGACCGCATTGGGGCTTCCTACTTCCTCTGCCGGCACTTCACGCTCATTCAGAACAAGAAAGGCCATTGTGCTCCCGAGTTATGGGCTGAGGATCCCCACGGGGCGGGCACTAAACACATTGGCCCCGAGACTTATTTTTAAAATTGTATTCCCTGCTGAATCACAGCTTCTTATTTTTTCCTCCTCCCACAAAGAAAAGTTTAGAGGGTCGTTTTCTCTCACCCACGAGGGTGGGAATTAATGGCGAAGCCCCTTTCCGACTCCCTTGGAAGACAGCCTGTAGGATCCCGCTGATTGGGAAGGGAGCTTCCCACAGCTCCAGGTCTAGATTCCATCACTGGCTTTGCCCACACATTCGCTGTTTGGCATGAGGGGAGGGTTTTAAACCAACGGTTCGGTTCCCAGCTGTCAAACGAGGCAGCGAGTCACATCTGTAGGGGCCCTCTGGGCTCCCAATGTTGAGACTACACGTCGTGCCCACTGAAGAACCAACTCTTCCTCCTGGGACGTGGCCGATGGAGAGCAGGCTCCATGGAGAGAGGGCGGGACCAGCCCTATGCAATGGTTCACCTCCATGTGGGAGCCAGCAGGGTTCTGGGGTTCAGAGTCCCAACACAGATCTTCGTCCAACAGCCCCTGGTCACAGGAGGTTGTCAGGGTGAGGGAAGCCATGAGCTTGGGTTCCATTTCCCACTCAATAAAGAGATGCCCTGGCTGGCACCGTGGCTCACTAGGCTAATCCTCTGCCTATGGTGCCGGCACCCTGTGTTCTAGTCCCGGCTGGGGCACCGGACTCTGTCCCAGTTGCTCCTCTTCCAGCCCAGCTCTCTGCTATGGCCCGGGAAGGCAGTGGAGGATGGCCCAGGTGCTTGGGCCCTGCACCTGCGTGGGAGACCAGGAGGAAGCACCTGATGCCTGGCTTCGGATCAGCACAGCGCGCCGGCCATGGCAGCCATTTGGGGGGTGAACCAACAGCAAAAGGAAGACCTTTCTCTCTGTCGCTCTCTCTCTCACTGTCTAACTCTGCCTGTCAAAAAAAAAAAAAAAAATGAGATGCCCCGTTTTGGTAGCCACCAACTCTGCCGGGAGGTCAGCTCAGAGCTGATGCTGGGAGCTGCAGAGATGTCTGTCCACATCTTGGTGCCGCCTCCCTTACACTCTCTGAGCCCGGCAGCCTCAGCCTTCCACCTGAGCCCGACCCCAAGGCTCGCGATCGCTCCTCGAATCAGTAGATCAATCGGGCAGTTCGCAAAACTCACAAGAGAGTAGACAGGCATTTGTCTTAGTGTTATCTGTTAAAGAATTATACTGACAGATGTTAAAGTGGTAAGGCAGCCTTTACTCAGGGCTACTGCAACAGGTGTCGAGACTGCCGGCGTAGGGGAGATGAGCCTCAACTCCAAATACGAGAATGATGAGGAATTATTGCCAAGGAGAAGAGGGATAAGGGGTCAGATGGTCACTGGATGGGGAAAAAAAAGAGAGGGGACCTCAAAGGTAGATGGATTCTGGCTAAACTGACCCAACAGAATTCTTGCTGAGACCTGGCATTACCTGAGGAACCTGGTCATTATCAAGGGCGGGGCGGGGAGGGGGGATTCTCTCTAAACTGATTCAGTAAGATTCCAACAAAACGGGCTCTGAGAGCAGAGACCGAAGCCCGAGGAGGAGGCCCCGCCAGGAAGAGGGCTCACGGGAGCCTGTCTCAAGTTTGGTCTGCCCGAACTCAGAACGTGGCTTTAACGAGGGAAACTCAGCTTTCCCTCTGGGCCCCAAAGACCCTACAGTCGCCGGGTTCTTCTGCTCTCACTACTGCCAGCAGGCGAGGCTTCTTGCCTCCGTGGGAGCTGGGTTCAGGTCCTGACTCGGCTGCTTTCTGATTCCAAGTCCGTGATGGGAGAAACACTGTGCGAGGGACACAGAGGCCCCAGGGCTGCTGGATCCCTGGTCTCCACCTCTCCCTGGGCAGCAGCCCTGTGCGTGAGAGTTACTGCATTTCTTGCTGGGTGTTCCTTCCCCTTTCTCACTTCTCAGTGGCTTGGAGCTGAGGGGAGGGGTGGCGTGGCCTGCCCTGGGCTGTGTGCTCAGGGCCCCGCCGCCCACTGGGCAGGGGCTCCCTCACCAGTGCAGACCTGAGTGAGCAGCCGAGGAAGACAGGCAGAGAGGAGGGGAGAAGCAGGGGCTGGCTGCGCAGGGCCCAGAGCCCCCTGGGCACAGACCCCCGCCCGGGAGGGGAGGCTCTGGGAGGTTGTCACCCCTTGGCTCACCACGGGTTCTGCCTTCTTAGTTCTCATCTGGTGTTTTGCTGGCCTGGGGACCACTGGAAGTGAAAGGTGGAAAAGAAAGGATGCTGGTTATCCCGGTTCCCTCTTAGTCCTAGACCTTGGCGGGGCTTACACAGCCAGCCCATGGCTGAGCAGGGACCACATAGACAGGCAGGGGCCGAGTCAAGACAAGGAGCCCCCCAGCCCCATCCAGCTCTGCCCCTGAGCAAGCCCCTCATCCTCTCTGAAGGGAGGCAGGAGCTGCTTTGCACAGTTTACCTGCTTTGTCTCACCAACCCCCACAAAGGTCTCCCAATGGGTAGTAATATCCCGATGTTCCGCTCCAAGACATTGGGACTCAGACGAAGTCACACAGCTGTGAGGTGACTAAGCCAGGATCCCTAAGCTGCCCAGTGGGGACCACACTGCCCACTCTGCTTCAGCGCCATGGAGAGAATCCATCAAGGACCCATGGGGTGTGGAAGGGCCTTCTAGGGTGATCCCGTCAGAGGCCTCCCATGCTCTCAAGCCCTGAAAAATCCCTGTTGCTGTCAAGCAGGGATTTCCTGAAGAAAAGCAAACAGCCCAGCCATGAACCAGAAGGAGGCCTTGGAAGAAGGGATGGGCTGGGGGGAGAGGCAGGTGCTCCTGGGTAGCCCTGGTGCTGGCTGTGCTGTGCCCTGTGGCCTGTACTGCAGCCAGATCTCTCCTCACCTCACCCGTGACACTCAGACACTTGAGGTGCGTGGAGGTGCACACAGATACGTGCATGTGCAGATACGTGCTTGTGCATACACGTGGCCAGGGAGCCTGGGGTCAGTTGGCTGCCCATTGGGATTCTCGGCAGTCCTATGAAAGCTTTGCCTACCCTTTGTGTGGCCTCGGTGGGTCAGCACGAGCAGCATTTCTGGGCGTCATTGATACCCAAACATCGTAACCCCTTTGTCCCAGCTACGCTACTGCTCTCAGTGCCCCACTCATTGCCCAGCAAATTCCTGTCCCTGTCACAGATGTCAGAACCCTCGTCCCCAGGCCAGACAGAGACCTTACCCCAAATCCCATGGATGGCCATGGATGGGATTTCAGGCCTTCCGAGATGTCCATGGGCTGTACCCCGAAGAGCTGGCCAAGGTGAAGGGCTTCCCGTCCAGAGCATGTCCCAGGGCTCTTTAGATGTCCACCCTCTCACTGGTCCTAATCTCATATCCCACTTCCCTCCTAGTCAGTTACATCCATCTCTTTGGCCACTCAACTATTCATAGACCAGAGAAGTCCCAGAGATGATCTTAGAGAAAGAGCACCAGGTCCCCACCCCCCATTATGACTGAACTGTGTACCTTCTCCTCCCCCCTGAACCAGTGAACATGTTAAGTCCCAATACCTTGCCATATAGAGAATAAGAAGGTAACCTATGAATGAGATGACATGCACCCTTGTAAGTGTGAGGCTATAAAAACCTCTCTTATGCAAACGAGAGGGCCTTTTGCCTGTGCATTGCTAAAGGGCTGTGTGTGGGTTAGGGGGTCCCAACCGGCTGGTAACAAATAAACCTCTGCTTTTGCATCCACAACTGTGCCTTGTGCATTCGGACTCAACAGGGCCACCACTGCTGCCTCCCAGATCCTGAATTAGCAGGAGGCTGGAGTCAGAAGCTGGCAGAATCAAGCCCCATGCAGTTGTCTTGTGTGTGTGTGTGTGTGTGTGTGTGTGTGTGTTTTCTTCTCCTTCTCCTTCTTTTAAGATTTATTTATTTATTTGAAAGTCAGAGTTACACAGAGAGAGGAGAGGCAGAGAGAGAATGAGGTCTTCCATCTGATGGTTCACTCCCCAATTGGCTGCAACAGCCGGAGCTGCGCCGATCTGAAGCCAAGAGCCAGGAGCTTCCTCTGGGTCTTCCACGCAGGTGGGAGGGGTGCAGGGGCCCAAGGACTTAGGCCATCCTCCACTGCTTTCTCAGGCCATAGCAGCGAGCTGGATCGGAAGTTGAGCAGCTGGGACTGGAACTGGTGCCCATATGAGATGCCGGCGCTGCAGGCCAGGGCATTAACCCCCTGTGCCACAGCGTCAGCCCCCCCATGCAGTTGTCTTAACTGACACTTGAGCTGCCAGGCTAAACACAGGAGGATCCCCACTCTAAAGAAGTGATTAGGGTGGTGTCAGGTCATTAGGATGTGCCTTGACCCAATAGGGCTGGTGTCCTCACAAACAGGCGGTTAGGACACAGACACACACAAAGGGACGGCCACAGGGAGGAGACACCATCCACAAGCCAGGGAGAGTGGCCTCAGGAGAAGCAACCTCCTGACCTTGGACGTGTAGCTGGCACTTCCATTGTTCAAGCCACGCAGTGTGTGGTGACTTTTAGGGCAGCTGGAACAAGCATTGCCCTTCCACACCTCTTCCCCTGTGCATGGACCAATCAGGGTGGACCCCTCTCCCCCGCACGTGAAGGCACGGGGCTGTGGGGGCCGCTGTAGGCAAATGTAGAGGCTTCTGAGGGCAGGGGCGTCTTCCCCCTCGTACCCTGGCATAGCCCCGAACGCACCGGGGGCCCTGAGGCTGTGTCTCCTGCAAACTCCCACCCCACGACGCAGCGGAGACCTTACCGTCAGAGAGCGCTCAGAAACACGGATCATCTGTGGGGACACAGGGGGTACTGCAAACAGGGGCTGTGGCTGCCAGAGGGCGGAGCGAGAGCTCCTTGGAGCTGGCAGGTGGACGATGGGCTGCACGGAGGGAACCCGGTGGGCTCATGGGGGTCGGGGCTGTGGGGGTGGTGGGGGGAACCCTGCAGGACAGGAAGGTGGTTTCAGAGAGGGGACAAGGTGACCAGCGGCCCCCAGCAGCCCAGGGATTTTTGGAGTGGAGCCAGGGGTGCAAGGAGAGAGTGTGGGAGGTGGGAGGGGCCAGGAGGGGGATGGCATGGATGTCAGCAGGTGCAGGGTGCCAAGAAAAGAGGAGAAGGTGACCAGTCCTACAAGCCTGGCCTCAGTGCACATGGGGCCTTCCGGTCCCTGCACTCCCTTGGCCTGGGGGCTGCCTGGGTGCACACGCTTCTAGCCTCAGCCCTGCCCTGGTTCCCCCAGTGGCCTTGGCTTCCTGGGGGTGACACCTGGCCTCAGTGGTCCCCGCACACCAGCTGGGCTCCCAGTGATGGGAGCTCCGGGCTGAGCATCCACCTCTGGGCACCTCCTCTGTTCACAGGGACAAGGCCTCTAGCACCTTCCTCCTTGCTCCTGGTTCTGCCCTGCTTGGGCTACTCAGATTTAATGGTCCTTAGCTCAATGAGCACCCTCTGTGGGCCACCCCGGGTCTTCTCCAGGCCAGGCCTCCCACGTCCACTCTGTTTTTCTGCCTCCCAGGTGACGTCCACACTTCCCCCCATGGGCTGCCCCCCCTACTCTCATGAGTGTGTTGTGCTCCTTTTTTTAAAAAACTTGATTTTATTTATTTGAAAAGCAGAATGACAGAGAAAGACTGAGAGAGAGAGAGAGAGAGAGAGAGAGAGAGATCTTCCACTGCTGATTCACTCCCCCACTCCCCAAGCAGCAGTGACAGCCGGGACTGGGTCAGGCTGAGGCCAGGAGCCCAGAACTCCATCCTGGTCTCCCATGTGGGTGCAGGGGCCCAAGCACTTGGGCCATCGTCCACTGCTTTCCCAGGTGTGTTAGCAGGGAGCCAGATCGGAAGTGGGGCACCTGGGACTCCAACTGGGGCTGCGATGAGGCTCACCTGCTGCCCCTTGACAGCAGGGGTGCTCTGCTTGGCTGTTGGCCCGATGTCCAAGCAGTCTCCCCTTTCAGAGTCTAAATCGGTGCCCCCAAATGCTCTGGCTTTTCCTGGAACCTGATGCTTCTGGCCCCAACAAATACTGGGAAGACAGGGTTAGGGTGGGTCCCGCAGCCCAGGGGTGTGTGTGTCTCAAAGCCCGTTACTTCTCTCCCTGTTCTAAGGGTTAACAGTGTCCTGAGCCCCCCAGGCTGGCAAGCAGGCTGCAGGGAAGGGGAGGATCTCTCGCCTTTTTTCTCTCCTGGGGCACAATGCTGAAAGTGAGCCAGTTGGGGGCAGGGCTGGAAGCCAAAACCAGCCACCCCCAAATGATATTATGAATGGGCAGCAACAATGCTCAGGGCTGGGGGGAGGGGGCCTGCCTGTGGACAAGCAGCAAGGTCAGGGTCGCAGGCCGCCCGTAAACAAGGATCACAATGCCGTCCTTTTCCTCCGGAGAGCCAGCTCCTCTCCCGGCCCTGTCCCCTGGGCCCAGGCCTCCCGGCCCTCATCCTCACCGGCTCTGTCACTGAAAGGGCCACTGCTGCTTCCTCAGGGAAAAGCCGGCTCTTTGTGGGCCCCCACTTCCTGCGCCTGTGGGAACCGCTGTGGGCTCGGGACATCTGCCTCCAGGCGCCTTTCTCAGGGGCCCAAGGTGGGAAGGAGGAGGGGTGCGGGCTGCAGGGGAGGGGGCTGTGACCTGTGCTGCTGGGATTGTCATCACCAGGCCTGCGGGGAGAACAATGAGGGGAGCCCCCAGCTTCCCCTGCCCAGAGCTTCCCTCTTCCCACCAGTGAGCCTTTGTGTGTGGCCTGTGGGGAGGGCGGGGGAATTCTTGTGTTTGCTTTTGTTTCCCTGTTTTTTTTTTTTTTGGGGGGGGGGGTTGGGTGTTGGCCTTTGGCTAGCCCAGAGGCAGGGGGTCTGCAGGGGCTGGAGGCCTCTCTGAAGGCACCTGAAGGAGGATGGCAGGGGACCGGTGGCGGTGGCAGCATCTGTGGGGTCTTTGGAGGTGAGGGGTGGGTTCTCTGCTGGGTTCCTGGGGCTTTCAAGTGCACTTGCTTCTGGGAGGTGCGTCTGAGATCCTGGGGAAGGTAGCACAAAAGACTGGTGCCCACGAGGAAGAAGGGGCGGGTGGAGCAGCCAGGCCAAGGGCTCTCCCTGGAGGGCAATCCAGAGCAGCTGGCATAGTCAGTGACTCAGCAGCCTCTGGCTTCCACACTTGCATTCCAGGAAATGGGTCCAAGGAAGCCCCGCCCACGGCTCCAGCTGCAAATGCTGTGCGTGCTTCGGGGCTGCCACAGGTGCGTCAGATCATCCCAGGACACGGGAGAGACACTGCTCTGATTTTGATTCTCTGTAAGCCCAGGGTTCAGGAGACCCAGAGATGACCCCCAGGAGAGGGGCAGCTTGTCCAGCCTGACTGCCAGCCAGCGGAATGTAGGCTATTTGCCACCGCTAATGAAACCTGTGCAGACTCCGGCGTGGACCCTCCCATGCACATGCGACAGCACTGCCGGGCAGAGGAAAGGGACCGCTGTAGTAATTGGGGAGCCGCTCAGAAAGATCCCCCAGGAGCCACTTTTGAAAACGTTGAGTGTCTTGCAATATGTCTGGGTGACGCGAAGACCCCGACTCTGGCGGCTGGAGCTGCTGCAGCACCTGGGACTGCCTCGCTCCACTTCCGGAGCAGTGCGGCTCAGCCTGGCTGCACAGGAGGGCGTCCAGGGCTAAACCCAACACTCGACAGCTGCTCTGGAAAACAGTATGGCCACTTCTCATAAAATCCGACACTAACCCAGCATGTGCAAGCTTGGGCATTGATTCTAGAAAAGAGAAAACTTGTGTTCGTACAAAACCTGTACATGGCTGTTCATGCTAGGTTTATTCCTGACTGCCCCAACACTGGTCCCAACCCAGATGTATCTATCTCAACAGGTGAATGGTTGGATGAACTGTGTTCTCTCCATACAAGTCAGCAACAAAAACAATGAATTCTTTTTTAAAAAATTTATTTATTTGACAGGTAGAATTACAGACAGTGAGAGAGAGAGAGAGAAAGGTCTTCCTTCTGTTGGTTCACTCCCCAAATGGCTGCCACAGCCGGCTCTGCGCTGATCCGAAGCCAGGATCCAGGTGCTTCTTGCTGATCTCCTATGCAGGTGCAGGGGCCCAAGCACCTCGGCCATCCTCCACTGCCTTCCCGGGCCACAGCAGAGAGCTGGACTGGAAGAGGAGCAACCGGGACTAGAACTGGTGCCCATATGGGATGCTGGCGCCACAGGCGAGGATTAGCCAAGTGAGCCATGGCGTCGGCCTTAACAATGAATTCTTTTTTTTTTTTTTTAAGATTTATTTATTTATTTGCAAGTCAGAGTTACATAGAGAGAGGAGAGGCAGAGAGAGAGAGAGAGAGAGAGAGAGGGGGGGCTTCCATCCGATGGTTCACTCCCCAAATGGCCACAA